GAGATCAGGATGGATGAAGGCCTTTTCCTTTTTTTTTAACTGCACATTGAAATGTTTGCATTTTCTAACCAGGTCAATGGATGATTTCCCCCCCAATCATAACTGACGGTAAAGTTAAACTTACTACGTGAATAGTCAGCATCTAGAACGAGTGCAGAAAACGACGCGGTTGGAAGCACCCCCTAATCCAGGCTACCAGCCCTCACCGTGGGCGTCCTTCCCACCCCTGCACCTGCTTTCTACACGAGCTCCTACATGTGGGGCACAAGACTCCAGGCAGGCCTCCCCGTCCTGCTGTCAGTAGAAGAATCAGTGTCATTTTCTTGGCTCTACCCTTTAGATAAAAGTGGGTGAAGGGAGACAGCCGTCAGTGTAAGACATGAAAAATATAATAATTGATAAATTATTAAGGGTACATGAGAGTGGGAGGGGGAGCAAAAATAGAGAGCTGATACCAAGGGCCCAACTAGAAAGAAAATGCTTTGAAAACGATGATGACAACATATGTACAAATGTGCTTGATACAATGGATGGACGTATGGATTGTGATAAGTGTTGTACGAGCCCCAATAAAATGATTTTTTTTAAAAGGCACATGAGAGGTTTTTTCCAAACCCATTTGCATTGGGGCTATATTTTACATCGGTGGCTTTAGGACATGAACCCAGACTTCCCGGGAGAACGGGCACTGTGCGCGGTTAGGCTGACTGATTGCTACTTGGGTCCATAGCTGCTGAGGCTAAGCCTCCGTCAAGGGGAGGGAGTCCAGGAATAACTCTTCCATTTTTATCCTGCTCATTCCTGAAAATCCGACAGGAGATTCTTTTCCTTTCCTAAAATTAACTCTTTCATGCACAAAGCACGCAAAAGGCCTTTTCTTTTATCTGTTAAAATTGGCTATCTGATTTTACCCAAATGTTTCACAAGGCATACTTTGCAAAACTTGAACACCAACCTCTTTCATTTTTAGTCTTAAACTGAAACAATACCAAAGGCAATGCCTCTGAGTGGATTCCGATGCGTGGTGGCCCTACAGGCCAGAGTGGAAGTTCTCCCTAGGGCTGCCCAGACTATAGATCTCTCCAGAAGCAGACTGTCTTGCCTTCGTCCAACAGAGTGGCCAGTGGGTTCTAACCACAGAGCCTTTCAGCTTGCAGCCCAGTGCTTAGCAAACTGCCCACCAAGTTTCTTGAGGCCTTCAATTTAACCATTTAACCATTAAAATACAAACTCACTGTAATCAAGTTGATTCACCTCACTGAGGCCTTCAAAATACAAACTCACTGTAATCAAGTTGATTCACCTCACTGAGATGCTACAGGACAGAGTAGAGCTGCCTCTTTGGATTTGTAAGACTCTAAATCTTTACAGGAGTAGACAGGCTTCGTCTTTCTCCTGAAGAGTGACTGGTGGGTTTGAACTGCTAACCTTGTAGTCAGCAGCTCAGTGCATAGTCTACTATGCTACCAGAATACCGTGGAGGGGAAAAATAATTTCAATTTTTTTGGAAATAAAAGCAATCAGTGGAAGGCCTTCTCTTCTGTTCAAAATCACAGCTAAGCATGATGAATGAGCAGTGAGTCATGTGGTCCCAGGATTAGTATGGGGAGAAATCACCTGCAGATGATGTAATGGTTAAATGATTCTCAAGTCAGACCAACCTGGGTTCAAACTCCAGCTCTGCTAGCCTTGAGCTAGATGATTTCAGAGAAGTTCCCTCATCTATACAATGGGAATTTCATTACGTATTGTAGGGTGGTTGCGTAAATGTAAGGAGATAAATAATATGAAAAATAACAGAAATGTAAGGAGATATATGGAAAATAATACTCACGGCTATTGAGTTGAGTCTGACTCACAGTGACCTTACAGAATGGTGCAGAACTAACACACTGGGGAGTTAGTTCTGAGATTGTATGTCTTGATGGCAATACAAAGCCTTATCGCTCTCCAGTGGAGTGGCTGGTGGGTTTGAACGGCTGACCTTGCTCATAATAACGGCTCATATTGATGAAATAAGGAAAGATAGAGATCTGAGGCTAGATTGCACAGTCTTTGGGAATGCTTAGGGATCAAACGTTGCATGAAGCGGTCCACACTCTACTCACGTTAGACAGAAACAGGAAACCCAAGTGACGTCTCAAAGAACCGCCAGACAGGGGCTGCCAGAATGCAGTGGTGCCGGAGAAAGGAAGGACAGGCAACAGAAGGTACTGGGGCCAGAGGGGCGGGGCCACTCCAGGAGCCCCTGTGGAATGCCTGGGTGGAAGTTGGGGGTGGGGGGTGGGGGGGCCTTACCGAGGCTGGGCTGGGACACGGCCATGGCCCTCTGAGGCACCGGTGTGGAAGAGGCGGCAGGGTGGAGGTTCATATGGTTCAGGGGCTGCTGATTCATCGCCTTCCTGGGGTCTTGCCACGTGGTGATTTTCTCGATGTGACTACAAGAAGGAAAACAATTATCCTAATTGTCAGCCTCCTCCTCCTCATTACCACCCTCTCCCACAACAGCACGGCGTGTTAGTGACTCCCGGGCTCTTCCCTTAGCACGTGCTGATACTCCACATGGCTGACAAGCCGGGGTTATTTTTAGCCAAGGATAGGCTGGAACACCTATCCCTCCGTCTCATATGGGCACACAGCAGACTCTGTAGGGTCCTTTCTGAACCCAGCTCCCTGAGTTACCTGTCCAGCTGGCCTCTGAGAGCAGCAAGTGGAGTTCTAGCAGAATTCTGGGAACTCCGCGCATGACCTCCACCCTGGAAGAGCCCACTTCCCCCAGCCTCTCGGGATGGGGGGCTTCAGAGCCAGCCATCGGGCAGCGGGATGTCAGGGCGTGAACTCCTCTCCCGGAGCAGAACCCTGCTCTCCGGCCTGCCAGCCCTCCCACGTGCTCCTGGCTCGCATCATGCACACAATGAGAGCACTTCTACCTTCCCTCAGCCCGGGACGGGCCCTTGGAAGCAAACCAGCGAGCACAGCATTGGGCTTCTATGAGCCGCCACAAAGGTCAAACACCAGAGCCTCCAGGTGTAACGTAACGGCCACACACCTGGGGGGATGAAGCGTCGAAGCACAGGGAAACTTACATGGTGTGGCGCTCGAGTTTTGGAAGTAGAAGGGTTGGATCTTTGATCAGAGTCTACTTCCAAAATGTGTTAGCAGGACAGCGTCTCAGAAGCAGATGAGAGCTTCCAGCTCTGCTGACCACCCGGCCATCCACATCACCTGCATGCAAGCCCACCCTTGTACCCACTCACGGCGCGTGAGCACAAGTACACAGTGAACAGGCAGGAGTGCCTGGTGCCTGGCGTCTTGTAGACACAACCCGTCAACCTCGACTGCTTGGGTCTGCTGTATTTCCTGTTACAGGTGAGCAGACCCATCTGGTACCACAACTTTTGTCTTGTGAACGGCGCCAGAGACCTTTCTCTCTCCCTAAAAGACACACACTTGGTCCCTAGGTGGCACTCATGGGGAAGCCCTTGACGACTGGCCCAAAGGCTGGCAGTTCGAATCCAGCCAGAGGTGCCTCTGATGCAAAGAATGGCAATTTACTTGAGAAAAGTCACAGGCTTACAGGGCCAGGAGGTGAGGTGGAAACTTGGGAAGACTGTGCGCTATCGCTATCGTGAACCGACTTTCCCAGAAGCCCCTCTTCCCAAAAGTCTTGTGTGCAAACCCTTGAGTGCTTAAACATCCGTGTATACAGGGGAGAAGTAAGAAATAGCCAAGACTGGCCTTAAGGGCTGGGAGTTGCTTAATAAGATGCTGTTAGCAATACTGTGTGTCCCAAAGTAAATCTTTTTTGGCAGGGAAGACAAGAACTGAAACCTGGGTAACAGATACCCCAGGGAGCACCCCACATGGTGTGACCAGGGGTCAAAACCAAAACCCAATGTCAATGAACACCTAATCATCAAAAGACAGCAACCCCAGTAGCAGACACGGAATATTGCTCCTCTGTTCTGGGCAGCGAGGCTCACTGCTTCCAACCCACCCGGCGACGTCAAGCCTCAGCCTTCAGTGGGCGCCGCGTGGCAATTCCGAACAACGACAGGGGCGCATGGTCTGCAGCACAGGGACACACGCTTCTCCCTCGGATCAGGTTTCATTGGAGCAGATCAGGTTTCATCCGAGCAGATCAGGTTTCATCCGAGCAGATCAGGTTTCATCGGAGCGGTGGATGTTCCACGTGTCTTCCCGGCACACTCACTGCTTCCGTTCCACAGGTGGGAATGCTGCCTGTGCTGGAATGCTGCCACCAGACCCACATCATCATTGACCCTGGGGAACGCACACAGGACCTTGAGGGAAAGCGTGATTGTGTTCCCTGGGAAAGTCTGTGAGTGTGATGAAAAAAGCCGCCTCGGTAGCTGGACGGGAGGCCAAGGGAGTGTGAGCTGCTGAGTTCCAGCCCTGTGAGTGCCATCGGCCACATTTGGGTCAACAACGGGGCGGGGGCTGTCTGTAAAAATTGAACTATCTGTAAGGAATGAAAATAAAGGAACAGGGACTAGCTTGTTTGTGTGTGTGTGTGTGTGTGTGTGTGTGTGTGTGTGTGTGTGTCTTTTTATTAGGTGGGAACAGAATGAACTAAAAAACATGAGAGTCATTTCCCTATGCATGAAAAAAAGGGGGGTGGCAGCAGAGGGGAACGATGGTGTCAGGGACACGGTGGGGTTGAGCCACTGTCATTGTTCAAAGTTCCCATAACATCCCTTCTTGTCCACCTCTGGGCCTGTGCACACGCATCGCCAGCCTGAGGGGTTTGTCCCGGGCCTCTGGAGTGAGGAGTCACACGATGAGGAGGTCAACGTGAAGCAGACTCCCTCTAGCAAAGTAATTAGCGCTAAGAACCCCTTTGACGATGCTTCAGCACCGTACTATTAAAACATGTTTTCCACGACAGGCATGCCCTGCGTAAATAACCTCCCGCTATGGCAACAGGCGGGGAGGAAGCCTCCTCTCATTCGGGAGCCTTCGGTCGACGCCCTTTTACTGACGCTTCTGCCGGCACCCACGTCACTGCTGTTCCTGTTCGCTGCCCGTGTGCTGACCCCTCGGTCAGGGTGCCCACACGAAGTCACAGGGTCCCACACTTGGAGAACACAGCGAAGCCCGGCCTTGCGCTAGCCTTTGTGAAGCACGGGTTTCCGTTGCTCGGTGTTCATAAGTAGATCACCAGGCCTTTCTTCCTCGTCCGTCATCATCTGCGGGGCTCTGCGGTCACAACAAATGCGAACATCCACTGACAAGACTGGCTACACGTGAGGTGCATTGGCCGGGAATCGAACTCCGGTTTCCCGTGCGGAAGGTGCGAGAACCGCAGTTGTTGGACCATCGCCTAGACGGACCGGGAAGTTTGATGAGCAGGAGCTCCCAGGTCCAGTTGTCCACTCTGTCCTGGGCGAAGCTCACGACATCCCTCCCTTCCGACCAAAGGGGCCGGGACTTCGAATCTGACAGAGGCAGGAGCGCGCAGGGCAGAGAGCCCTCCGACTGCAAAGTGTGAGAAGCCCAGCTTGCCCAAGGAGGGCCACTGTGACTTGCCAGCCTCCGTCCCCTGTGGCTTTCTCGGTGGACACTCCTGCCCTCGTTCTGGCCCGTCTGACGCTGCAGATCTCCCCAGACTCCCCACAGTGCCCTGGGAGACCGCAACCCACCCTCCAAACTCCGCACCCCAGCCAGCAGTTTTCAGGGAGCTTGGTCCCCAGAGGATCTGGTCATTAAAAGTGTCAGTCACTATCTTCCCCGGAGACTCAAGTACTAGAGGGAGCCTTTCTTTTTTCTTTTTTTTCTTTTTTAGCATTTTATTAGGGGCTCATACAACTGTTATCCCAATCCATACACACATCAATTGTGTAAAGCGCATTTGTACATCGTTTCTCAAAACATTTTCTCTCCATTTAAACCCCTGACATTAGGTCCTCTTCCCTCCCCGCTCCCCCCTCCCGCATGAGCCCTTGATAGTTTCTAAATGGGTATTTTGTGATATCTTCATCATGCTGACATTAGGTCCTCATTTTCCTTCCCTCCCCGCTCCCCCCTCCCGCATGAGCCCTTGATAGTTTCTAAATGGGTATTTTGTGATATCTTGCCCTGTCCGGGGGAGCCTTTCTTATGTGAGCAGCTCTCGCTGCTCCAAAACAACTCTGAGAAGAGAGGTGTGCACATTCCCAGCCCCTCCAGAGCTGCCGGACCCCCAATCAGCTTCCTTCTCAGACTCAGCTTGCCCGGTGTCAAGGACGGCTCGGCCAAATGCAAACAGCAAGGAAGAGAGAATGGCTCCCATTCTTTGTGCTTTGCCGGCGATTTGATTTAAAAAGGAAGATCTCCTTTTGCTCAAATCGGTTCGTGCCTTGGGCTCCCCTTGACCTCAACTCTTATTCCCAAACCCAGGATGTGTCTGTCGGTCCCTCTTTCATCCTGCTGTCTCATGCCTGCTCTCTCAGTCTCTGAGTCATTTCCTTTCTGGGATTGCTCAGCTGAGCCTTGCTGTTGGCCAGGGCCCGAAACTGAGCCGGATTAATCCCTGCTTCCCTGCTGCTCTCAGCTCCTTCCTGGCTTCGCGCCCTGGCAGAAGAAAGTCCCTCTGCAGACGGAGAAGTATGATTTCCCTTGGAAAGTTTTATAGGCACATAGGTCTATGATGGGAGCCTTCGTGGTGCACACAGTGGACTGCTTGGCTGCAAACCCAAAGGTTGAAGGTTCAAACCCACCCTGTTGCTCTACAGGAGACAGCTCAGTGGAACTGCATTTATAAAGATTAGAGTCAAGGAAACTCTCTGGCTGTTCTACTCTGTCACATGGGATCGTGATGAGTCAAAAAAATGACCACGCAGTACTTAGCACATGTATGCACTGTATGTATAGGAGCAACAACAGCTGAGTACACGTATGGATGCACTGTATGTATAGGAACAACGGCAGGATACATGCATGTATACACTGTATGTGTAGGAGGTTCAAAAAGTTGGTGGAAAATGGAACTAAATAAGAATGGATCCCCTGGGATATCAATTTACCAATAGTAGTGTTCTATAAGTATATATTCTATCGATCCATGTTCTGCAGTTTCCCTGTTTGAAAACAGAATTTAAGAAAAGCACAAGATTATGTATGGAGCCCTGGTGATGCTGGTGCTAAGGTGCTGGGCTGCTGACAGAAGACTGGCCGAGTGAGCTGCCACTCCAGGGAGAGAGGTGTGCCTACTTCAGAAACGATTTACCACCTTGGGAACCAAGGGAGCTGCCCGACTCAGGCTCCCGAGAGGCTGTGGGTTGGAAACGACTGCCTGGCAGCGTTTGGATTTGTGGCCGGTCGGTTGGTTTTGTTTGCCAAACAACTGACGGGGCAGCTGCGGGACTTTCTTTCTGAGCGAAACTCTTCGGCACGGTCCAGATTGTCCGCAGCGACGATACGCGGCTGTCCTGAGCAG